GGCCTAAATGCTGCTGCTCGGTGAAGCTCAACCACATTTATCTTACTTAAGTCAGTATGCACTCCTAGCTACTACTCCCTCCGTGAAAAAAAATACAATTCTTAGTTGCCGAGAAGTCAATAAGTTTGAACTTTGACCAAAATTATATAAAAAAAATATACTAACATTTCTGATGCAAAATTAGTATCATTAGATTAGTCATAAAATATATTTTTATAATAAATTTATTTAGATACATAAATATTAATACTATTTATTATAAACTTGATCAAATTTGAGCTATTTTGACGGCACGGATTCCATAATTGCATTCTTTTCTAGACAGAGAGAGTATATGTGTAGCAGCTACATACTAGCAGCAACAAAAAAAAAATTTATATTTAAGATGTACTAGTAGTATACCAATAAATAGATAGATAGATAGATGTACTGAGTGACTGACCGGGTGCCATGACTCGTCCCTGTGGATGTGGCCGTGGTTCTGATGGTGTGTTCTGTGGCTGATCCTCCTGCATCATTCGTGCATGCCCACCAATAATTAACCAGTCGCTCAGGTTAATTTTTATTATGCATGACGATGTATCATCAAAGACCAGCTAATTAAGAAGATATCAAACCTGCCTGCTAATGCGACGATATATGTGTGCATGGCAATGGATTTCTTTAATTTTTACATGATGACATGTTTTGTATAGAGTGCATATATACATGACACAGCTAGCTAGTACTTGGCTGTGCTGAGGTGAATGAAGACAAGAGACTGCATGCAACAAATTTAATTATGCAGCTAGCTAGTACATGCATGGATGCTACACTGGTATGCGTGCATCATCGTATCATATCAGCAGAGATTCTCTATGTAAATATGTAATAATATATAATCAAGCAAGCAAGCAACATGTAGTGTGCTCTCCATATAAAAATGTTATTATACGTACGATATATATATATATATATGCTCTATATATACTCCTACATAGACCATCCAAATAAATATCTATGACACCGATCGAGATCGTGTCGTATCGAAATTTTGGAGAGAAGGAAAAAGAAAAAAGCAACATGCATGCAGTGTGCTCTCTTCCATATCTTTTCTTTGCCTGCCTTACTTTACGTGCACACCCATAGTTGTCGTCGATGCCTTATTGCAAACGAAAGCGACAAAAAGGCTATATAGGCATGCATGCATCAAGGGATGGAGCCATGGAGGTGAATGAAGAAGAAGAAGAAGCAAAGGACGCAAGGGAGGAATTCGATCGATCGAATTGAAGAACATGCATACTACATACCATCCATGGTAGGGGACGAGGATGAAGGAGTGTAGGAGATGCCCCACCACGCTGTTGAGTGTCGCGCTGTCCGAGAAACTCCCGTGACCACTGCACCGATCAATACATTACATGCATCTTTGTCAGGTTGGTCGTCACCGTCGTCGTAACCAAGAAAAGGAACAGACGACGATGAGTGGTCCCGGCCGGCCTGGAGGAGGAACGGACGGGGGCGTACGTACCAGTCGTGTCCCAGGACGAAGAGCGCCCAGAACATGGTCCCCTGCGCCGCCCAGTACACCGGCCACACCGCCCAGCTATCCATGCCCGCCGCCGCCGCCGCGCCCAGCGCCGCCACCACCGCCACGTCGCGCGCCACGTACCACAGCGACCGCCAGGGGCTCTTGCGCCAGCAGTGCTCCGGCACCGCCGCGCGCACGTCGCCGATGCGGAACGGCGGCGGCTTCCCGGCGTCGAAGCCGTCCACCCGGCTCTTCATGTCCTCCGTCGCCTTGGCCGCCGCCTCCTCAACCTGATCCGCCGGCCGCCTCATCGTCATCTGTGAAGAAGGGGGCGGCTGCTGTTGCTTTTGCGGCGGCGTCGTTTGGGTCTGCGTCTGCGTCTGCATTGGTACGGTGGTGGTGCGATCGACCGCCGGAGTTGGAGAAGATAGATCCGAGAGAGAGATGGAGTTGGTTTTGCTAGGACATGAACGGGAGGCGTAACGTAAGACACTGAGCCTCTCTCTCTTCCTCTCCCACAAATAATAAGCCAACACAAAAAATATATATGTCGTGTCTGTGCGCGGCGTCTCTTGCGGCTACTTATAAGCAGCGGGCACCCAGCCCACACCACATGCATATGCCAACCCCAAGCCCGCCCCTTTTGGGACGAATCAATCGATCATGTACACCACCACACCATGCACACTAATGACGACACTATAGCAAGCCACTGTCATTTTTTTTAAACGAACCGCCTGAGGAGCTGAAGCAAGGGTTTCGTCGTACCGCCCCGCTCGTCACCCCACCCTGCTCAGCTAGTCCCCGAATTTTTCCCTCGCTCCTCCAAATCAGAATGAGAATCGGATGTCAAATCAAATCAAATCGTTCTAAATCTGAATCAAAAAAATAAAATATGAAACCAAATTAAATGAAATAAAAAAATACAAGTCAGATATGCAGGGTATCGTCGTACCGCCACGCTTGCTCAGCTCGCCCCTCGATTTTTTTGCCTCAGCTCCTCCAAATCAAAATCGGATATCAAATCAAATCAAATCGTTCCAAATTCGAATTGGAAAAAAAAAGAAAATATCAAACCAAATCAAATGAAATCAGGAAAAAAAAATACAAGTCGGCGGCGGTGCTTGGCGGTGCCAAGGAGGCTGAGGTCTCTGCCTGATGCGGACAACGGTCGCGGTGCGAGGGCTCGTGGATGGTCAGGCTCGGGTCCAACGCCACCGTAAAAAAAATAAGAGCAGGTTAAATAACAGTCTGATTCGACTGCCATGTCAACCATGTGCACGCAAAAGGGGAGAGAGAAAGCTATGCTTGGCAGCTCATCACGCATGCCAAGACACTTTGTCTACGCAAAGGTTAACTCTTCCCTTGCTAACCTTGCATATTGAATAAAAATGATATTTAGACTAGAAAGGGACTAATTGTAGGCTCTAAACTTGTCTATTGATGACTTGGCTTGCCTTATAGACAAGTTTTATTAGGCTTTCTCTAGAATCCGCTCTTGCACATGACCTGATCCGGTCCTAAACCCGAGACCCAGTGGGGCAAAAAAATACACCCCTGTAGGACCGAGGGAACCTTACTTAGCAGACAATTGTGCCTTGCCGTTTTCAATGTGAAGTGGAACTATTCTGTATGGTTAGAGGAAGGTGAAAACAACTTTATATTTTCTATATAACTAGATTATAGATTTCTTAATATGTTTACCTAAGCCATAACTCACGTGTGTCGATGTAGTTGTACGTAAAAATTCATGATCCTCATGCAACGCACGGGCATATATCTAGTTATCTTAAAATGTAGAAAGCCCTGACAGACACTATACAGAGAGAGAAAACGATAACAACAACAATAATATATGGTCCCAGCCGGCAAAACAGGGAATACTAATACTTATTGTACAAAATAGGTACCATTATATTAGTCATGAAACCTACATTTATAATATATTTATTTGATGCTATAAACATCAATATGTTTTATCTACACATTTGGTTAAACTTTAGATACTGTAATCGAAAATGCCCCTATAATAATTATTTTTTCAGGACGAATGTAGTACCAAGCAACCACTTGTACGTTGTTGCTTGTATGAATTGTTGTGATTTCCGTGGGCTAACTTAAGGTGGTAAGCCATTTTTTCTAGTCTCAAACTCTTATAACAAATTAAGCACGCTTCAGAGAGAGTAGCTTGCTAGGGAGAAAACTATAAGCTGGGAATCCGTACGTAATAATTCAATCACAAGTACAAATGAAATGGTCCAAACATACAATAAATTATTAAGCTTAACATAAGACTGAATGGACGGAACTTATTCTTGGACGGCATTGCATTGTTGGCGGAATATATTCCATATATACTCCACCGACTAAACAGTCTTTTCCATATATATGCACAATACGTACGGTTCAGTTGCAACAGCGCTTTATTTCTTTGGCGAAAGCAACAGATAACAACTTTTCGCAGGAGATGCATGCTACGTATAAGAAACCCATGCAAGCAATGGATCGGACCACCACAAAAGCAACTTGCATACACACAGTTGGGCTTATTTTCACGTTTTTTCTTCTGAGAAAATTGAAGAAATGACAGCGAAATGCACTTCATTGTGCTATGATCCGTGCAGGAGCAACAACGCTACCGGACGCGTCAAATCACTGCTTACCTTTCTTGGATGACTTTTTTTTTTTTTTGAAACTTTCTTGGATGCACAGCTGGGACTTCACTTCTCCAGACATGACCTCCTTTACAAGCTAAAGTTAAAGCTTCTGATAGTGTCATACAACAGCTAATGAAACAACGAAATCTATGAATTAGAATCGGACACGCAAGGTTTTTTTCCCTCCCTATTTATTGCCTGTACAGTTCAAGTTCCAATCAGGAAGTGTAATACATCATGAAAATCAAGAAAACTATCCAACAACCTTTGCCCACCATACTTGATCAAACCTATAACGAACTGTTAGTCTTTCCCACCAAAAAAAAGCGGAAAAAGAAGAGGATGGCAAGCTAGTACAGCTCCAACGGAGCATAGACATCAGCAACTTATTACATTGCAGTTCTCCAGCATGCTTGAAAACCACAACTTCACCTTCCCTAGTTTCATCTTACAATCCAGTTTTTTCTACTAAAAAAATATTACTGTACCAAAAACAAGTCTTGCAGTAACCTGCAATCATTGTGTATACAACATACTGTTTGACATGAACATACAAGCCTACAACTTTTTCATGTACATGATCTGAAGCAATGACAAAAATACAGAGAACACCCCAACTCTGAATCTCTCAGGAATAACCAGATATATCCCCTCAGTAGCACTCATGAAAGTCCATATGACCATTTTCTTAGGCCAAATATTTTTTTTCTTACAACCACCCAAGTATGCTTGCAGTTGCATAGACAGTAGGGGGTACAAAACAAGCTTGGCGTTCTTCTTCAGTAAAAGAATAAAAATGGATGAAAAGAAATTAATCATCCAGCACGTAAGCACTATTTCTGAAATAGGGCAGCAAGCTCCCGTTTTTCAGCCATGGATGAAATAATATCACAGCCTCCCACGAGCTCCCCGCCAACGAAAATCTGAGGGAACGTCGGCCAGTTGCTGTATGTCTTCAGCGCCTCTCTTAGCCCATGGTTGTGTTCCTCATCAAGCACATCAACAGTTACGAAATCCTCTCCATGTGCTTCCAGGATACCCACCACCCTTTGTGAGAATCTGCACTGGGGAGCACTCCTTGATCCTTTGATGAAGGCTACCACTTTGTTCTCCTTCACCAACCGGTCTATCAGCTGTTCTAGTGGAACAGTCAGCTGGACATGGCGTCCAGGCATCAACCGCAAGTCTGGAGGCCTCTGGGGGGCACCAACCCAGGTGTAGTTTCCTGCAACATTCCCTGGTGGCGCCTTGCCAGTGGCTTCTATATGTTCTTCCATCCATGATTTCCAGGCATTATTAAGGGCAGCTCGATCTGGTGTCTCCTCATCTGATACTGTGACCTGCACATGTTACAATGTTAGTGCAATCAGATATTCAAGTATTAAACATGCAAAAAGTAGAAATTAATTTTCCTTTTTGACAGATTTATTTTATGCAGAATAGTGCCATACTGGTATACAAAAGTAATGAAGCAAAAGAGGAGTTAAGGCAGCAGGTGTGTCCAAGTCTTTAAGGCCCCAGGAGAACCAGGGCAATATTCAGAAGGGCTGTTATAACAACTTAAATTCACAGAACTGACTAAAATGGGACACAGGATGGGGTAGAACAACCACTAGCTAAAACTTTGACCGAATATATGTTATTTCAGCAGATCCTTTGGCATTAACACATCATATGAAGACATATCCAGATTCATGATCTTGCATGAGCAGGCCCCATAGTTGCTAACATGCTATAGAAGCAATAAGGAATTTAAAGTCCACAAACCTGCTATAAAGAAGGGCTTGTGAATAATGTAATATCATACCTACTGGCTACCGTCCTAATAAAAGCTAATCAGTTACAGAGGTTAGAATGAAAAATACAATGCTAAATACTAAATCAGCTACCAATATGCACATATTGTTTTGCAGACAGTATGTTGAACGTCATGTTCTGTCAACCAGAACAAGGCTCATGGATGGCTGAAAGAAGAATAAATTACTGGGTTCCATCTTACTGCAGATGGGGGAGAATGAAGTAAGAAAGCATATTTTCTTTCGGCGAGAAAGTAAGTAAGTGAGCATACCGAATGAGAAATGCAAACTCCTACATCAAGCAAAGTATGGACCGACTGATACTAGCTAGAGATGTTTATACAATGGCCAATCAATGAGAATATTACTGATTGGGGAGAATGGATAAGGTAAGCATATCGACTATTCGCAACTACAAAAACTGGTGCCCTTTTGTTCCCTCCTTTCGGTCTTTCGGCCATAGCAAAAAGTGAGAAAGGACACAGGCTTAAACCATTCCAGCCCAAGTTAGCATGTATCAGTTTGCCCAAATTAACGATCCCAATACCAAAGCTAGCTCAAAGGTAACTACTGGTTTAGTTCCAAAGCGAGGCATGTAATTGGGAGCATAAACTGTTAATATAATGATATACATGCTTAGTCGATGCCATACCTTGACGGAGGCGCAGAGGTTAGCGGGGACCTTCCGGCGGTGGCCCTCGACGCTGGCCCTGACATTACGCGAAATCCCGACGAACTGCAGCTCCCCGGCGGGGATGTAGACGCCGTAGACTCCGGGCTTGGGGGCAGGGCGTCCTCGTCGACCAGGGGCTGAGTGGGCTCCTGAGGGATGGGCACGGGGGACGCCTCGGAGAGCTTCTTGAAGGCGGCTACGGCGAGGGGGCGGGAGGCGCGGCGGCGGCGGAGAGGGAAGCGAAGCGTATTGGAGGACGACGAGGAGGAGGCCGGCGCGGAGAGGAGAGGGAAGGCGAGGCGGGGAGAAGCAGCGGCGGTGGCGGTGGAAGCCATGGCCATGGGGATGCTTCGACGGTGGGGCGTCTGCTCTGCTTTGCGTCGGCGGCGAGTGGTGGTGGTGTTCTGTCAGTCAAATCGGATGTGAGCTTCGTTTCGGCCCATAACAAGAGGCCCGTTTCTGTTGTCTGCTGGTTACAGGCAGGCCCAGGCCGACCTGCTGGCCTGCTAGACCCACCTGCAAATACAGTCTTGGTGGCCTGTTCTAACCTTTTGTTATTTTATTTATTTTTCTTCCGTTCTCAATCGACACGGTGCAGCAAGAGAGACTTAGGAATACTGTTTCTGCTCAGAATTACAAGATGTTCTGTGTAATTCATGCTCAGAATTACAAGATCCATGCTTGAAAAACAAGCTAATGGTTGACTAAGGAGAGCAATTTCCATCCCTTTCTTTCTAAGTGAAGATCAATACTCTCAAAGCTTGGCATGCATTGTCTGATCAGGCAATATAAGCGTCCAAAATCGGATGACTGGGGTGCCACTGTTTGCCTAGGAAGATTTTTACGGTATCCCTCCAAACCGCCCCTTAAGGTAGGTTTGCTAAATTCCTTAAGGGTCCGTTTGGATGTAGATATTGGGGGAGCTGGAATTGAATTGGGTTCAATACCAAAGCAGCCATGGTATTGAAATGGTCACAACTCAAACACTATTGTTTGGATGGCCATTGAATTGGCTTTTGGAATCCTAGCAAGTAGCTCAATACCGTTTTTTGTTTGGATGCAAAAGAATAGAATTGAAATGTTGGGCCACGGCAGGGGAGCTCAAGTGCGGCCATGGGGGAGCTCGACCCCGGGCAACATGGTGGATCTCGCGCTGCCGTCCATGGGGGAGGGGAAGAGGTCCCTCCGCCGTCCATGAGGGAGAGGAAGTAGATCTCTCGCCGTCGGCCATGAAGAACAGGAAGAGCAGGTCTCCAGGCATGGGGAAGAGGAAGTGGAGCTCGCGCCGACGTCCATGGGGAAGAGGAAGCCGATCTTGCGCCGCTGGCCATGGAGAAGAGGAAGATGAGGTCGCAGGGCATGGGGAAGAGGAAGAGGAGCTCGCCGGCCATGGAGAAGAAGGGGCACCGCCGGCCACGGAGAAGAAGGGCGCCACTGGCAATGGAGAAAAAGAGGCGTCGGGGAAGAAGAGAAGAGGTCGTCAGGCGATAGGCCTCCAGCGCCGGGGTCGGGGACGTCGGGGGTCGAGGGCGACAGGCTTGGGGTGGCCTCCGTGATCAGGCCTTTGCGTCGGGGTCGTGGTGGGGATGAATGCCGCACAATACTGGCCGTGGGGGCTCCAGATGGAGATGAGGAGGGGGTATAGCCAATACCGATCGGTATTGGGTTCAAATTCAATTCCTAATTCTTAGTCATTCAAATCAGTAACACCCTCGGTGTTACATCAGAATAATTTACTAAAACATGTTATGAGCATCATGTTTATGTGTTAATGCATGTAATAAAGAGTGTAGATAAATTTCCGTAACTCAAAATGATCAATAGAAATACGAAACGAAAGTTAATTTAATAGTCATGCTGTATCACTTAGAGTTTAAAACTAATTTTTATTAAGCAAAAATGTTACAGAACATGTATGTGATACTTGAATAAAGTTTGAAGTACAAACTCCGTAGATGACGATGAAATACCTGCGGTCGAAAAATGATATTACTAGCTAAGATTTCTAATAGCTTAGAAATGTAATTTGAAATAGAGTTAAACTCAGAACTTAGAAAATTTCTTGAACTTTGGAAAGGGTAGACATTGCTTTGTTCATCAATTTTTGTAGAAAAATTTAGTTAAGAAGAAGAGTAGTGTCATGGCCTGTTTTGGTAGCCTAATGTACCCTCTTAAGTATGGTGAAGGTGGTTTGGGTGTTTGGCCAACCGATTAGTTGTTTTGGACGCTTTAAAAAGCGTGCATGGCACGTCCTCGGTCGGTTTCCTCGTGTAGGCGCGGTCACCGTGCCCTTGAGCCATGACGTCGACGCGCCGACCGCCTTGCAAGCGCTCGCCACGCCGGCCGGTTGCCGTGGCCGATTTACTGGGCGCACTCGTCGTCCCACCACCTCGCTGCTGCGCTACTACCCGCCGCTTAGCTTCTAGCCGTGCAACCAATCACGCCATCGTTGTCTTGCCCCGCCCCGCGTTGTGTCGCCGCCGTATACGCCTCTGGCACGCCTCATGTTGCGACGCTGCCACCGCCATCGTGTCGCTCCTGTACGCGTGCTGCATCGCTGTTGCCCCTACCTGGCCCGGTTGGGTGTTGTCCGCACGTGGCCGTGCATGCCGCCATCGCTTTGACATTTATGGCACTTTGGCCGCGCGGGCCACGTCGGTCGGGCGTGCACGCCCGTCGTCTAGCGCCGGCGCGTGGGACTCCGGTCCCGCCGCTTGCGCCCCGCCAAGGCGTGGATGAGCAAACCCACCGCCGCGCCCATCTCTCCTCCCTCTATTTCCATCGCCGTCGTCGTGTCACATCGCGGTGAAGCTGCAGAGCGAGCACCTCTCATCAATTCCTCGTGCTCACGTCTCCGTCTTTCACGCCCCTCTCCACCGACCCCACCCCACCTTGACTCGTGCCACACCAAGCTCAATTTTGGAATCTTGCCACCGCCATGCCATTAAGGCTCGTCGCCGCCCGCGTCGTGGCCAATCTCCACCACTTTACCCCGCGCCAATTCCTTTGCATCGTTAGCTCGCCTTGGCTTCCTCTTTGTCGTGCGCACGCTAGTCATAGCTTTTGTGCCACCTCCTCATCGCTGACGCTGCCGTGCCTTAGCGGTTTGCTGTTTGCCTTCATTGCACAAGACGCCAACAGCGCTCGCCGGGTCGTCTTTGGCCGAAGCTAGCTTCTTAGTAAAGTCACCGGTGAGTTGTCGTTGCTCACCCGCCGCTCTACTACCTTGATTGTTACTGTGGCTCACCTGAACGCCATTGCCATTGCCATTGCCGCAGGGTGTCTACCATCGTGGAGAGGTCCTTCTACGGCGTCCCAGCTCGCACAACCACCGCCCATCATCTCGCGTCGAATCCTAGGTGAGCGTCGGCCTCGTAGGTAGGTTAGCGAGGGCCCTGTGTGACCGGCGTAGGCGCCTGTGCCACTACTCGCTGCGTCGGAGCATGCGGGGATGGCCGAGGGTCTCACTGTTGTAAAGAGGAGAAAGGTTCGAGGGTTCTTTTGCATAAGTGTTGTCTCTAGAAATAGTAACATGGACTGCGGGTTGTTCTGTTCATAGTCCAGGTGCGTTTTTGCATATGTGCCCGTGTGTGAAGCTTCCTCGCCGTGGGGCCGCTCCGCGCGTGGGCGGCGCCTGCAATACTGTAAGCCTTGGCAGTTGTGCAGTGATGGGCCAAAAATTAGTTTAGATTTTTTGTGGAAAATAGAAATAGCTTTTCATTTGTAATTCTGAGCTAAACTTTAGTAAATCATATAAAATCATGTAGGTATCCAAAAATTGTGAAACCAATTTTGTTAGGTTCTTAAAATTGTGCTCTATCTGTTAGTGTATTGAGTTCATATATATATATTTATGAATACCAATGGCTATTAAATCATTTTGTGGCAAATTAGTAATAGCTTTGACCATGAAAATTTTACAGTAGATTCCTTGTATTATTATGTGCTTAATATAATTTTTGTAGCCTTAGAATTGGTGGAGAAATATGATAGCTAAGTACTCCTTATTGTAGTATATAGGAAATCGTTAATAAGAGTAAGAATATATTTTAGTTGCTAAGTAGCACTTGTAGGTGAAACCCTGCTGGTTTGATGGGAATGATGATTAGCTTGGTATCTTAGTCATTAGAACTAGCTTAGTGGCTTAGTGATGTATTCTTATTTTAGAACTACTGTTGCCTTAATATTGAGCGTTGCATCGTCATTGCATGCATGTAGAAAACGAGTTGGTGGAGTTCATGACCGCGGGCGAGCAGGAGTACGAGGAGGTGATTGAAGAGTACGAGGAGGAGATCCTCATGCAGGAGGAGGTCCCGGAGCCGCCACTGACTGACTGAGCTAACACCACGCCTGCCCAAGGCAAGCCCCGGTGCATAACCCTTATTTTGAACAATCACTGGAAATATATATATGATGTGCATTTATATTACATGATTTATATTGAAACTACATGCATAGATATACCTACCTATGAGTCCTACTAGCTCAGGTCGAGTAGCTGCTATGCTTGGGTTTATCGGTAGCGTGAGTAACCTACCGTTACTCACAATAGGTGATTATTATTATCACTCATGATAAAATGATGAGAGAAAAAATGGAGACCGGGTAGGGATATGGTATGGGTATTGGTGGGTGTAAGAGGTTGTGTCCCACGGCCAATAGGGTATAGCTTGGTTACACTATTTTCCCTGTCCGTGTCAGTTAAGGACCGGCCATTGCATTGGATTCTAGTTAGATCACAGACTTATTATCCTGATGAAAGTTCTATTTTGGTTTTGGTGAATTGATGAAACCCTTAGTGCTAACCTAGTTTATCAAAGCGATTATGAGATAGGTAGCACTACTCCAACTGACGAAGGAAATGAAGATCATGACATGATGATGTTGATGGCATGGTGATGATCAAATGCTTGGACTTAGAAAAGAAGAAAGAAAAACAAAAAGCTCAAGGCAAAGGTGAAATTGATAGGTGCTTTTCGGTTTAGTGGTCGAGACACTTAGAGAGTGTGATCACATTTAGGATTGATAGCCATACTATTAAGAGGGGTGAAACTCCGTATCGAAATGCGGTTATCAAAGTGCCACTAGATGCTCTAATTCATTGCATATGCATTTAGGATCTAGTGGAGTGCTAACACCCTTGAAAACATTTGTGAAAATATGCTAACACATGTGCACACGGTGATACACTTGGTGGTTGGCACATTTGAGCAAGGATGGAGAAGTTGGTGAAATGAAGGAGGTGATAGTCACTAAAAAGCAAAGGATGGGACGCTAGTCATGTGGTGACCGGACTCGGGGAGCAGCGTCCGGTCGATGAGTTGATTAGTGGCACGGTCTC